AATATAACGAATATATAATTAATATATTCTAAAAAAAGTTGAAATACTAAAATATTTGAAATACTTGTTGTAAAATTAAAATTAATATTTAATGATGATGTAGATAGAATAAAAATTACACAATATAAGTTTAAGAGGCACATCAATATGAATAATTACAAAAGATTTTCCTCTTTATTTCTGTAATCTTATTAAAAAAAATTAAAAGCCCAGTTTTATGCAGAATAAAAAAAGAGAAATAAAAATGAATTTGAATGGAGTCCATCTCAGCATTTGCCTAAGTGACATTGGGAAACCATAGAAATCACAGCCAAGATGTTTCACAAAACAAATTTTACAAATCAACAATTGATATTACAGATGCATGCTGTATTAGTACATTCAAAATTATATGGACTAATTCCTAGATTGCAATTGAATGTATAAAATATGGCTAAATGAAAACAAATTTCCAATACTAGCCTTAGTTCTAATTAACTAGTTAATAACAATTAGTTTTTATATTAGTGATATACAGTTTAGATAAAAAACTTTCAAGAAAAACAATAGAAAAATTTTATTTGTATGCAAATAATGATTTCTTTTAAAATAATTATCATAACTATTTATAATAGCACTCAATACTACCTTTAGAATATCCTTAAACATCAAAGCTAGTCTTTTTTCCTTATAATTAATTCCATTTAAGCTGTTAAGATTTTCTAATATTTATTGTCATCAATTTATTTCATTCAATTCAGTTCATTAATTTTTTCAAGTAATATTTTTAAATTATTGAAACATTGAAGTTTGAAGTAGGTAATTTTAACCTCATAAAATAACCAAACCAGATATAAAGAAAATGTGCAAATAATAAAACGTGTAACCAAAATATTTCAAAAGAACATTAAAAAAAACAAAAGTAAATATTTAGGGCTAATGAAACTTGTTTTAAAAACATTATAACTTATTTATTCTTTTTGAAAAAATATGCTAAATATGAAACTGAATGCTGTTCCAAGTTTTATTAGTATGTTGGGTTTGTTGGGTTTAGTGGGTTATATTCGGTTCACACCGGGGGCTGTGTACTATGCCGGACCAAAGTCAAGGCATAGCACCAAAACAAAACTAAAATTAAATAAGTGTGTCAGTGTGTGTGTCTGTATTCAGGAATTTCCTAACAATGTGGCATGTATTCAATATAGTGGCCTTCTGTAGTGTGATGTATGTATTTCTACTCAATTGTAGCATTGGACATTAACAGCATTGGACAAAAGAGAAGACCAATAAGTTATTATTATTATTAGGAAAAAGCATATAAACTTTGTTCTCACAAGTATTAATACTATTAAATTATAACTTTTTTGTTGTATTAAAATAAACTTAATATTTACCCATAACTTAAAAAAACAACACTGAAACATTCTTAACTTTTCACATTGATTTTACAGTATTTTTGTCAAAGTTTTTGGTTTTCTGACATTACTATATTAATCACATAGAATTATTCAACTAATAAATGTTTACATGCATAAACATAATCGTAACATGAAATCTCAGAAAAAATATGCAAAAATCAACAAACAATTATTTTGATTGTTATTGTTTTTAGTTTACACAGATGATGATAAACAAATTTTTATAAAAATACTTTAATTCTTTAAAAAAAAGTAACTCATTTTCTAAAAATTTGTTCAAATAAAAACACATTTGTTAAAAATCAATCATCAAACATTTATACAATTAAATCTAAGACTATTTATTAAACTTATGCAAATTAATAATAATTATATTTTTATAATTTAAATCTTTTAAATTTAAAGATTTTACCTTCTTCATCTTCAGCAGGTTGTATACAAACTTTTCCGTCCATCTTCTGCGGTACCAAAAGAGACTAAATAAAAGTCATAATTTACTTAGTTCTGAGAAAATTTTAATTTCATAAAACATACTTAAAATTTTGGCATGCATTGTATAAAAGTCATTCAGATGCTAGAAAAAGCAAGTTTTGTTACTTTTTAAAAATTTTAGAAAGAAAATAAATTTTCATTAAAATAAATTTAATTTACCAATTCTTATAACTATAAAATAAAACAGAAAATAGAAAAACTAACTTTTTATTACATCAAAATACTTAATTTTTATAAAATACATAAACTTAATGTCAATTAGCATTACATTCTAGTGGGCAAATAATCTAATCTAATATTTAGATTTTTTCAAATTTAAATTTATAAAGAAAATGTTATATTTTATTGTTAATTTGAAAAAAGAATTTTATTGTAATAAAATTTAAAGAATGCTTTATTCAGTTAATAAATTTTAAAATTAGATTATTTTTGTTACTAAAAGATTTATTATAAGATCAATTTCAAATGTAGGTTATAAAGAAAACTTTTAAGTAAATATATCTATTTTTTCTAATATAACGAATATATAATTAATATATTCTAAAAAAAGTTGAAATACTAAAATATTTGAAATACTTGTTGTAAAATTAAAATTAATATTTAATGATGATGTAGATAGAATAAAAATTACACAATATAAGTTTAAGAGGCACATCAATATGAATAATTACAAAAGATTTTCCTCTTTATTTCTGTAATCTTATTAAAAAAAATTAAAAGCCCAGTTTTATGCAGAATAAAAAAAGAGAAATAAAAATGAATTTGAATGGAGTCCATCTCAGCATTTGCCTAAGTGACATTGGGAAACCATAGAAATCACAGCCAAGATGTTTCACAAAACAAATTTTACAAATCAACAATTGATATTACAGATGCATGCTGTATTAGTACATTCAAAATTATATGGACTAATTCCTAGATTGCAATTGAATGTATAAAATATGGCTAAATGAAAACAAATTTCCAATACTAGCCTTAGTTCTAATTAACTAGTTAATAACAATTAGTTTTTATATTAGTGATATACAGTTTAGATAAAAAACTTTCAAGAAAAACAATAGAAAAATTTTATTTGTATGCAAATAATGATTTCTTTTAAAATAATTATCATAACTATTTATAATAGCACTCAATACTACCTTTAGAATATCCTTAAACATCAAAGCTAGTCTTTTTTCCTTATAATTAATTCCATTTAAGCTGTTAAGATTTTCTAATATTTATTGTCATCAATTTATTTCATTCAATTCAGTTCATTAATTTTTTCAAGTAATATTTTTAAATTATTGAAACATTGAAGTTTGAAGTAGGTAATTTTAACCTCATAAAATAACCAAACCAGATATAAAGAAAATGTGCAAATAATAAAACGTGTAACCAAAATATTTCAAAAGAACATTAAAAAAAACAAAAGTAAATATTTAGGGCTAATGAAACTTGTTTTAAAAACATTATAACTTATTTATTCTTTTTGAAAAAATATGCTAAATATGAAACTGAATGCTGTTCCAAGTTTTATTAGTATGTTGGGTTTGTTGGGTTTAGTGGGTTATATTCGGTTCACACCGGGGGCTGTGTACTATGCCGGACCAAAGTCAAGGCATAGCACCAAAACAAAACTAAAATTAAATAAGTGTGTCAGTGTGTGTGTCTGTATTCAGGAATTTCCTAACAATGTGGCATGTATTCAATATAGTGGCCTTCTGTAGTGTGATGTATGTATTTCTACTCAATTGTAGCATTGGACATTAACAGCATTGGACAAAAGAGAAGACCAATAAGTTATTATTATTATTAGGAAAAAGCATATAAACTTTGTTCTCACAAGTATTAATACTATTAAATTATAACTTTTTTGTTGTATTAAAATAAACTTAATATTTACCCATAACTTAAAAAAACAACACTGAAACATTCTTAACTTTTCACATTGATTTTACAGTATTTTTGTCAAAGTTTTTGGTTTTCTGACATTACTATATTAATCACATAGAATTATTCAACTAATAAATGTTTACATGCATAAACATAATCGTAACATGAAATCTCAGAAAAAATATGCAAAAATCAACAAACAATTATTTTGATTGTTATTGTTTTTAGTTTACACAGATGATGATAAACAAATTTTTATAAAAATACTTTAATTCTTTAAAAAAAAGTAACTCATTTTCTAAAAATTTGTTCAAATAAAAACACATTTGTTAAAAATCAATCATCAAACATTTATACAATTAAATCTAAGACTATTTATTAAACTTATGCAAATTAATAATAATTATATTTTTATAATTTAAATCTTTTAAATTTAAAGATTTTACCTTCTTCATCTTCAGCAGGTTGTATACAAACTTTTCCGTCCATCTTCTGCGGTACCAAAAGAGACTAAATAAAAGTCATAATTTACTTAGTTCTGAGAAAATTTTAATTTCATAAAACATACTTAAAATTTTGGCATGCATTGTATAAAAGTCATTCAGATGCTAGAAAAAGCAAGTTTTGTTACTTTTTAAAAATTTTAGAAAGAAAATAAATTTTCATTAAAATAAATTTAATTTACCAATTCTTATAACTATAAAATAAAACAGAAAATAGAAAAACTAACTTTTTATTACATCAAAATACTTAATTTTTATAAAATACATAAACTTAATGTCAATTAGCATTACATTCTAGTGGGCAAATAATCTAATCTAATATTTAGATTTTTTCAAATTTAAATTTATAAAGAAAATGTTATATTTTATTGTTAATTTGAAAAAAGAATTTTATTGTAATAAAATTTAAAGAATGCTTTATTCAGTTAATAAATTTTAAAATTAGATTATTTTTGTTACTAAAAGATTTATTATAAGATCAATTTCAAATGTAGGTTATAAAGAAAACTTTTAAGTAAATATATCTATTTTTTCTAATATAACGAATATATAATTAATATATTCTAAAAAAAGTTGAAATACTAAAATATTTGAAATACTTGTTGTAAAATTAAAATTAATATTTAATGATGATGTAGATAGAATAAAAATTACACAATATAAGTTTAAGAGGCACATCAATATGAATAATTACAAAAGATTTTCCTCTTTATTTCTGTAATCTTATTAAAAAAAATTAAAAGCCCAGTTTTATGCAGAATAAAAAAAGAGAAATAAAAATGAATTTGAATGGAGTCCATCTCAGCATTTGCCTAAGTGACATTGGGAAACCATAGAAATCACAGCCAAGATGTTTCACAAAACAAATTTTACAAATCAACAATTGATATTACAGATGCATGCTGTATTAGTACATTCAAAATTATATGGACTAATTCCTAGATTGCAATTGATCACTAGTTTTATGATATATTTTTTTTAACTGAATAAAGCAAAGATAATAAAAAAAAAAACATCAAAATCATATTTTATAAAATATTCACCATTTCAAGCCCACAATTATTTAAAATGTTCAAATGAAAAAATAATTGAAACACTTCTATTTTAAATGCACACACAATATTCAACTTCAGGATAATGCTAATAGTTTATAAGCAGAACAACATATCATAGTATTCATATATATTTATATAAAAATTAATTTCATTTTAAAACATGCTGTAATTTTTTAAGATATAATTATGTAAACTCAAATCATGAGACTGAATTTGTCTAAAATCGGTGTGTAAATTAATTGTGTTAGTGCTGAATTTTTCAATGTAGATAAAAATAAAAATGAAATAAAAATACAAGATATAATGCAGTACTTTATTAACTGATATCTCTTACAAATATTAAATGTGTATAATTTAAATTTTTGTAAATTAGAAATGACAAAATAAAATGTTTTAAAATTATTAAACTTAATTCATTATTGGAAATATTTGAAAAGTAATACGTACAGCAGCAGGGCTGCGTTCCAAAGCTTCTCTTTCTTCAGCTGCTTGTTGAGCTGTTACATAACAGATAATGTTGTCTCAAATGTGTATCCATTAAAAATTTTGAAATATAGTAATGTCTATAAACTTATCTAATAAATTTTGCAAACTTAGCATACTAAAATAAAACAGGAAAATATGATCCATAATATTCAATTAAATAAATGGAAAATGTTGTAAGGGTCTATTAAACTGAAAATTTAATGGAATCTATATAAATATATATCTATATTAAAATAGTTACTTAAGTGATAGCCCTCTCTTATAGATTCAATGTATAAATCAATTATTGCTAAAAATTTTGACTTTACAATGTTAATACATTGATTTGTTTGTCCCTTACCTCTGACTTTTGCTGCTACCCATGCTTGATAAGCAGGGGAATTATGGTAAGATTTAAGAGCCTCATTATATTCCATCTAGGAATAAAAATTCATTATTAGAACAATTTATTACTCTTTAAAAGGCTCTAAAATAGTCACATCATATTGTGCTTATTGGTCACCTTTTCAGCTTCATAGTCATCGATATATTCTTGTTTTGAATCATCAGGTAACTCCCTCCACATCTGTCCAATAATCTTGCCAATTTCCCACAACTTCAGATCTTGATTTTGGGCCTTTACTTGATCCCATACCTTGATATAAAGTTCAATGTAACACACATTTGTTTTAATTTTTACTTTTTAATGATTAATAGTTAAAAAATTAGGTTTTAATGAGCACTAGGCATATTTTTAAACAAAATTTTAGAGGCATGATAACAAATGTCATTTCTGGATGCTAATCAGCATTGACTTTCTTTATTAAACTGTTGAAAAACAGCTTGTGAAGAAAAACTGTGTATAAAATCCAATCATAAACTGCATACATTTTAATCATTTTAATTAAAAATTTGATTTCAAGTATCTTCTTTCATTATATTAGCCAAAAAATAAAAAGGGACAATTAACATATTAAATGAATTTGTTGAAAAAAATTGTGATAAAGTATATCTGGATTAAAAAATTTCCAAAACTACAGAACAGGCCTTAATAATTTGATATAGTTTTAGTCCACCCAGTTATTTGATATAATATGTAAATGATATAGAACGAACCTGGTAAGATCAATTTCCATAGAATTGCTGCATCTAATGATCCAACAGACTTAAATATATATATATATGTAAAACTATGTTTCAAGCAAAACTTTTATAAGTAGTACAGAAATCATAACTACAATATTAATTTTTTATTTATAGTAGCAATAAGGTAAAATATTTTTCCTAAAAATACATTTTTACAAGGAGAGGGCACATTTTAGTTTTTGAACGTTGAATCATATATACTGCAATTATGGAAAAGGTCTTCACTGATACAATAAAAACATTGAGTTGATTTGTTTTTAAGATATAAAAATTTTCAAAACAGAAATTAAGTCATTTAATATTATCTATAAATTAATCTTGACCATTATTCTTAATTTAAAAATTTGAGAAATTTATTTATTTCGTTTTCTCTGTAATTTAATATTTAAAATTATATTTAGTACGCTAATGTATAATGATGATAAATATTAATTTTTGTATGTCTGTGTATTCATTTATGAAATAAAGAAACCAAGAATTAGCTATTAGTATTTGATATATTTAAAAAAAATTAAAGTAAATAAAAATCACAAACAATAAAAAATAAATAACAAATAAATAAAAAAAATTAAAATTTTATTAAAACAATTTATTTCATTTGATACAAATTATGAAATTACTATATTTCAACTGAAAATTAATTTACATATGATAATATTGGCTTCATATAAACTTGAATTTTGTTTTTATTTTTTTATTTTTATTTCACATCTTGAAAGTTTTATTATTATTCATTTTCAGAGAATTTCTTAGAGGTATTCTGATTTAGCTTCAGGTTACAAGAAATAATAATAAACTGCTTAGGACAGTAATTTTTTAAAAATCAAATTCATTCTTCTATATTATTGTTATTGGAATTTCCATGCAAAGAATTAAGAAAAACTTTATTAGAGATGTACATGCAAATTTCTGAGAAAATAATTTTAAAGATGATTAAAATACAATATTTATAAGAAAAATTAATGAAATGATAATTATTTAGATATATTAACTATGATTCAAAAATACAAAGATGCAAGAAATATAACAGAATTTATTGTTTATATATTTATTTATTAACTAAATAAATTTGAATGAATTAAATAAAAAGAAACCTTAGCATAATTTTTACAGAAATATAAAAATTTGTCAAATAATATAGTTGTATTTTTCACTAATAATGATTTATTATAAAGTTGCAAGTCCAAATTAAAATTAAAAAAAAATATATAATTTAAAATTATAGAATAAGTGTTATTTTTGTGAATTTAATTTATGCCAACTTTCCAACAAAAAAATGTGTTTCATTTTGTTAATTAAAATCTATCATCAATTAAACTGATTCAAGCAATTTCGTGTAATTATAAAAGCTAAAAATTGTTGTTAAAATACAAAATAAAATTTTAAAAAATGTAATTCCAATTATTGCTAAAGTTTTAATCAAATTAAATCAAATTTATTTTCTAAAATTAATAGTACAACAAAAATATTTACTTTANTACATTTTTTTTTTTTTTGATACTATCTCCTATCTATGTTAAGTTTTAATATTAGATACAGTTGTTGATAATTATGTTATTGTTTTTGTTAAATAAAAAATTAAACTTCACATAATAGCAAAACAATAGAATATAAAATAATGATGATTATTAATATACAAACTTTTGACATTTTAAATTGAAAATTTTGAAACTAACTATAAAATAAAATATAGAACATTTCTACAAGCAAAAATATAATAAAAATATCATTAATTATTCAGTTACTATTGAAACAATCACTAAAGACTTACCATATTATACTAGTAAGTATTGTATCGGCTAGAAATTAGTTAACACTATATTCTTAAATGTTAATTTGCAGAATACAATAAGCTATAAATACTGTATACTATTTACTCAAATATAAAAATATAAATTTAAAAAATTTACATATACTTAACACAACAGATTATGATACTATCTATTTCTGTTATGCATTTAAAAATATTATGTTTTTGAAGTATAATATAAGAAATAAAGAAGAAACAAAAGAATATATATTCCTTTGCTTCAGAAGCATTAGTAGTATTTTTTATTTATGAATATAATTAACAATTGAAATTCTGTTAATGAGCAGTTCATTAATTATTATTATTATTATAAACTTCCTAAGCTATCCCTACTATTTAACTGTACTTCAGTATAATTTGGCAAATCTTTAACTTAATATATTAATAATAAAGTTAAGTTTCTAAGAGGAAAAACAAAACAGTTTTAGTTCTAGAGATTTGGTTGGTAGGAGATGTCTAGATATGTTTCACTTCATGTTTCTTATATTCTATTCTATTGTTGTTGTTTCAATCAAAACTTCTTCCAAAACTTCAGACTATGAGGCGTTAAATATAATTAAAAATAATTTATTCTTGCGAGCGCTTTCGACGTGCATATTTACGTCGAAAGCGCTTGCAAGAATAAATTATTTTTAATTATATTTAACGCCTCATAGTCTGAAGTTTTGATTGAGATAACTGTTGGCATGACATCCAACCCCAGTACTTAATTGTTGTTGTTTTGTCATGTTTTGTGTGACCAAGTACAATATGTCGGAAAATCATCATTCTAACTTGTAAGTCATTTTTTATCTTCAATCTACTCTATATAGTTCTATGTACTGTTAAAGAACTTGTAACATCACTGTAATAACAAACAATAAACTCAGTTGTTACAAAAGTTGCTTGATATAGAGCTTATTTATCATTCAATTAAACAAATATATGTATGCTAAAATGAGAAATATAAATACACAGAAGAAAGACATTAGCTGTACACAAAGTGTTTAGCCGGCAGAAAAGAGGGTAAGGGGAAAAAGGGAGGGGAAGGAGGAGGGAGAGGAGATAGACAGTAGAGAAAAATAGGTTCTCTCTGAATGGCGTACATGAAATATACACACATTACTTCATAATTTTAATAATAAATTAAAATAGTGCACAAAATACATGTTAAAGCAGAGCACTGAGGTACACAAGAATTGGATGGTATCCAACTGTTGTGTATCTAACTGCTCTGCTACATCCAACAAAAATCAAGATTTAGCCTTTCATGAAAATTGCTGTGCAAATTTAACATTTAGGTTTAGTTAAATTAGGTTAAGCTATGATAAATGAATAAAAACCTCGTCTTATATGCGAGTAAATATGGTAATAACCAAACCTCGACACTAACCTTTAAAACTACAGCCTTTTTTAAAGGTTAATGTCAAGGTTTGGTTATTACCATATTTACTCGCATATAAGACAAGGTTTTTATTCATTTATCATAGCTTCAAATTTCTAGCTCGTCCTATACGCGCGAGTGAAAGATTATTTGTGTTTTTGCAAATAATTTTTGTGAACCGTATATTTGCAATTTTTACTAGATGCTCACCCTCTTGTTTAAAAACATAAGTATTTTATCTGGGTGGTTTGAATTTTTCTTGTATATTGTCAGGAGTAAAGATGAATAGCAATAGGAAAAGCAAAGCTTTTGAATCGAATTCCAGATTGAAATTCCAAAATCACACGGGAGCATGATATAAGTTTTAATTCATTCCCACGCGAAAACAGATGATTATTCGGAAATCAGAATTTGGAGAAACTCTTAAGTGTAATTGACAGAGTGGAATTGACTGTTAAGATTTGGCAAAAAAAAGGTTCCCCATTGTCCAGCTTTACATGAACAAATTATGTTGTCGATTTTACAACATTTTCTTTAAAGTTTAAAATGACTAAGTTTTGCGGGACAATGTGTGCATTTACATTCATTTGATATTTTACTTGTGATTAAACAAAATAAAATTAGAATTGTATTAACAAATCTAATTCTCTTTATTTTGTTCTTTAAAGTCACACCTCGTCCTATATGCAAGATTGTCTTATATGTGAGTAAATACGGTATTTAATTAATTAATTTAAGTGCAGTCAGAGAAGAGAGTGCAAATTTATGCAAAAAATTAAATCTTTCAAGAAATTAAGCAGTTACTCAAAAATATGCAGTCAACACTATAAGAACAAGGACTCCTTCTTATAAAATTATGAATGCTTACAATGACTGAAGCTGCTTTCACATTTAAAGAAAAAAAGATGATGTTAAAAGTGGACATCTTCTACAAGTATCTTCTATAAAGGAAACTTGATGTTATTTCCAACAGAGCAGTAACAGCATGTAACTTCAAGTTTTTAACAGTACAGAGAACTTTATAGAGTAGACTGAAGGTAAGCAGAATAACTTCCCAATGTGTTATAGATACTTATTTAGAGATCACACACCACAAAACAGTAATGACAGAACAGAAAACAAACAGGATATGAAGCATATCTAGAACACCACCTAGCAACCAAATGTAGGAGTGTTCATTTTTCCTGTTATTAGCAAGGTTGCAGCTGAAGTTTTCATCTCTAAAATGTGAACATCGAGAGCAGCTATCTTGTAAGCAGCGCTTGATGTTCAAGTTGTAGAGATGAAAACTATGGCCACAACCTCGCTATTGATGTAAAAACATATTTTTAAAAGT